CTCCTAACTGAATACAGCCAAAAATGAGACAGGTTGCATAGATGGTCTTTCTCCAGAAAAACTTACCTGAACAAGCTTTGATTCCACCCCCCTGCTCCCCCCCGCTTTTAAAGAATTTCTTATCTGCATGGGTTATAGGATTTTCCATAAGGTTAATAATAAAGGCTATGCCTGCTCTGAAAATGTAAGTTTATACTGGTATCTACTGTCAAAACCGGGCTATTGAAATAATGAATGAGGTTCACTTCCTCAGAATGTGTAAATGTCCCAACTTGGAGTTAAACTTTCAACAGCTGAAAGACAATACCATTGACATGTACCTGGCACTAGTTACTCAGGTTTATTTTTTCCTGGAAAGCTGTTTTGGGCGACAGAGTGGCGTCCGGGTTTCCCAGGTTGTTGTGCTGACAAACTGCAGTGGTGGTAAAGGCAGGGAGTCTGACAAAATCTCATTAATCATTTTAAATTAAATCCAACATTCCTCTCCAACGCTGCCAAGCAGAAAGCTAACTTTTACAAATGAATACCCTCTCTGAAAAGAACTGGTATCCTGACCATGTTGCTTTCACATAAATATGCTTGATTTCTGTCGTGTACACATACTCAAGAAGTAGTATTTTTAAGCTTAAAAAGTAATGTAGTTGTTGGATTGCTAGAAATCTGAAAAGTGCTTTTTGCTTGTTCTCTGTGTTAGGTGCTGTGCGTGAACCACATATCTGAAAATGAGAGCCTCTTCATTCTTTCAATGAATTGTAGTTTTTTGCTTTTTTAAATTATAAAGCAAATACAGAAAGTCCTTTTTTTAACGCAAGAAAATTTCACATAAGGAATGGAAGCATTGTGTGTAAACATCTTCTCACTCATCTCTTCTCTAAGCTTGTTTATAGGAATAAGAAAGGAAAACTGCAAATGTACTAACATCGTTGTCTGGAAAAGCACCAAAGAGATGAAGGAGCAATGTGACCTCTTTGAAGCTTTTCACATACACATTCATTTCTGTAACTAATCCTAGCTATCTGGTTATGACTTAATTACACACATCGTATGGTAAGTCTTAACTTCTAACATCTGATAAATAATATTAGAAGATCACATAAAATTTTATCTTACTAAAATCACTATTATATATAGATTATAAAAGTTTGTATATTTTTTCTCTTTAAGGCAAAATGAAACCATAATGTGTCTATGGGAGACACAGGAAATCCTTTAAGTCTGTCCTTTGTCCATTTTAATAGTGCTTTTGAGATTACAGAGGTAGGTTTTACAATGGCAGAGAATAAGTCATCAGCCTTAATGTTTATTAGTTTTGATACTTACATGAAATATGTGAAAAGAAAAAAAATCCCAATCACTGTAAGGCAAGTAAATCTGACTTTTCTAAATACTTACTATTGTTATTTTGACATTTTAACATGCTCAAGCAGGTATACCTCCATTTTGCTTAAGTACTTAATTTAATACTTGTGTTCTAAAAACAGAACTATAAAAAATATCAGATTGCACAATGACAACCTTACATAGAGAACAAAAACATTACCACTTCAAAAAAGAGCAATTCCCATTGATAAATTTTATGTAAAGAATTTTAACAAACTGCAGTATACTGAAGAGGAAATAGTAACATTTATTTGCCCAGCTATACAGTTTATTTACTAAATTTGTATTTTGAAACTGTTTATAATTCTTCTTTTTCCAGTGTGGGGGGTGGGAGGGAAAGGTTGAAAAGAACATATTGAATTTTTTTTTTTCCCTGAATGCAAATTTCTTGCCCACTTCAAAATTGACAAATGTGTCTCTAACTTAGAATTGTTTGGGTTTTTGTATGTTGAAGCAGCTTTATTTTTAAAAGCCCAAACTGTATAAATCTGTTGTTTAGAGTATGAATGGAAAGTATTCAAGACAGAAATAAGAGTTTTGAGAAAATGTAGAATATCAGACACTGTCTGTAACTAAATCAGGTGAATACGTAATATACGCTATATTCCTTGAATAAATGCAGTGAGAGCCTCAGAATTTAATACAGGCAACAATGAGCTGTATTATGTGACACTTTGCATGGACACAGGTACACTCATTTCCCCTACGTGAACAAAGAACAGTTGTCCTTCTGTCACATCTGTGTATACTAAAGTTAGCAAAATTTCAGAAATGGCCATTCAGAACACAACTTCAGTGTCTTTTAGGACCAGAATAACTTGTGCTTGCAGGGGAATGGACTGCAGGCTCATTTCTTCCTTCAGTGCAGTGTAGAGTTAGTGTGAAGGCAACATCACGTGGCCAAAGTTCAAAGAACGTGCAGGGGTGGAATCACAATAGCTCAGGAATCGCTTTGCAGTTATGAGCATGACCATGCTCATGTAATTAGGCTTGGGATCCTCTACTTAAGTCTCCTGAAGTGCTCGATCAAGTAGCTATTTCCGATATCACGTCATTAATGACACCTGGATCAATGAAGTATCTATCGCTATTTTCTTTTAAAACGTTCATGGAGACACCAGTAGTGCATTGAAGAAAATGCTGCCCAAAACTTAGTTTTTAGAGGGCTTTTGGAGGATGACTAAGAGAATTCAAACTTCATCTTTCTCACTTTGTAAGACTATTGTTGCATCTGCTAAGATTTTTTTTATTTTAAGACAGAAAATTGCCCAACTTCATGAAAAGTCTAGATTCTTAAAATAAAAAAAATTACTTTTCTGCCACTCTGGCCAAAGAGACAAACTTCAAAAGAAAAAAGGACAGAAGAAATGTCTCCTGTTATTTTTTGTTTCTTGCTTACCTCTAAGGGAATTCACACTTGGGATGATGCGTTTGCCATTTTCTGTTCCACTCTTAGTGACATAATGTACAGCAAGAGTTGGGTGCTAACCATTTAACACAGTTCAAGATCCTATTGTGAAGAACAGATGCTGTTATCTGTATCTGATTAGGGGTTTGTTTTGGTTTTCTTTTCCCCTGGACTTGTGTCTTATGGAAATTTTAACTATATCATCCTGTTTCTAATTTATCTTCTTGGCTGTTACACTGACCTTGAAGCTTTCTAAACCTTGTTAGGAGTTGTACTCCTCTATTCCAGAAGAAACACATTCTGTCTGTCTGGAGGCTTTGTTCTGTATCTGAGAATAGGAACTGAGGGTAACTGGAAATTAAGAGAAATGCAGATTAACACTTTGTACTCTCCTATCAGTGCAAAATCAAAACCAGTATTGCTAATGTCAAAATAAATACTAGTCAGAAGAGAATTAGGCCTTTTGTGCCTAATTTTTTTTAGACCTAATTTGTGGTCTGAGAAGAAAACATTTCCTGATAAGATTTGTTGTAATTACAAAATTAATTGAATTCTTCTTTTTAAGTCTGTAACTTCTGAGGAGTGTTTTCTGGGAAGCCATATTCTGCAAGTCTTCATGTTAGATCACTGTAAGGAGCATAGAGACACTTAACCTTTATTGTTAGTTTTACAGACCATGTTAAATTTTTTTTTTTTTTTTTTTTTCAGGAGCAGATACCTGTGCCTTAAACAAAGCTCCCCAATGTACCGCATACTCTTTATTTGTGTTTGAGATTAACTGACTACTGTGGAATGCCTCCTTGGACTTTCTGAAATATATTGAAATGACACAGGGTGAAGTAATGAGAAGTTATCCTGAGAGAGGGGAGTGACATTGTAAAACCTGTCTGGAAGATAGCTGCAATACTGCTGGCTTTGGCTATGTATGCTACACAAATACAAACAACATTTATACTTGATTAACGGTAACGTAATAAAAAAAATATTACAACTTTTTCTGGGTGCATATTTGCATGTGGACCAGAGCTCTAAACACAGCATATAAAACACTTAGCAGCAGTACCTAAATTTTTTTCTCCCTGTCATTTATGTAGCCCTTATATGGACTGTCATTGTCATCACTCTGTTCATATCTAAGACAGATGTAACACTCCCTATGTGCCAAACAGAAGGCAGCAGTGTGGGCAAAGCACGTGCCTACGAGGAGTATGACACGCGTTCAATTTCTGTCTCTGCCATAGGCTTCCTACCTAAAAAAAAAAAAAATTAAAAAAAATCAGATTAATCTGTAAAACAGAACAAAGAATATCTTCTTACCTCACCTCATGGTGTGGTAGGGAAAAAGGATAAATCTACTTGTTACCATGATGAACCCAGATGCTAGTGATAGCTGAATATTATGTAAACAAACATAATCAGGAACAGCTCTGATTTCAACTACATGTTATGTCAGTTTAAGTAAAGTTCTGCTCTATGAGTTACTGAACAAAAACCAGGCAAATCCTTATTCAGTTCCTGCATACGCATGGCAGTTGCACTGCTAATACTCTCCACACTTCAGAAAACATAAGACAACCTGACCAACACCATTTTTGAAGTACTTTCATGAATCTAGAACTATTCAAAATCTAGCTACATGACAGACTTAGAAAGAGTAATTCAGTATCTGAGTCTGAAATGACTTTCCACTCCTGCACAGTCACTGCTCTCATCTTGCACAGTCAGTTTTGAACAGCTTTAGCAATGAGTCATCTGGTGTATATTTGCCCAGGCACTTCCATCATTGACACTTCCAGACTGAGGGAAGCAGCTGAAAGCAGCCCCTAACACTTTCCCTGCTGAGATTTTTCCTTGCTTACTGTGCCGAATAGATGACTGTAGTTGCCCCATGTCCCCAGTAACTAGTGTCTGCAATATAGGTTGGGTCTCCCTGTGTAAACTGCACGATTTCCTTAGGCTATCCCTGTATGACATCAGGGTTCATCTAAAATAGAGGTTGTAATCTTCTTTAAAATTGAGTGAATGGCAGATTGGCAATGTGCTAATTTAAGTTAGTCAATACAGTATTAAATATCAGCCTAGATATTTTACAAGTGTTCTGTCATGTCCTAGAATAAACTTTGTTGTAGTATTCAGCCCAGTGTTTCTCTAGCTTATGTATCTGAGGTAGCCAGTATTGTAAAAAAATACGAAACAAAGAACTACAACACTGTTTTAAGAGATAAAAGAAGAAATTTTAGTTAAAATATTTTACAATAAAATAATTATGATTATAAATCTCTTTAGTTAAATATATACACATTACATGGTATTCTAAAAAGAACGAACTTATTAAAGATTTAAGCAGATCTAATGCACAAATTCACCACTTTGTCAGCTTAGACTGTGATGTCAGTTTAACATTCGTAAATGGCTGTGTCAGACTAATGGCGTTGTTTTGTGCAAAACTAAAAAAATTATGAAAAACAGATCTCCAAATCCTTCCGTTTCCACGGTAAATAGATAGAAAAGGTAGTTTACAGACACACACTTACACACACAAACTTCGATTTGCATACAGAGGTTAGAATGACCAGCACTAAAATAACCCCCATCTCTACAAAATAATTAATTTCTTGAGTTGATGTAGTTTTTGAAAATTACAAATTTTAAGTGCTAGCAAGTTGTGCTTTTAGGCAGCCACATGGCCAATAAGGTAGATGTTGTCATAAAGGTGCCCTACAAAATCTTCACTAATATTCTGTGCAGCTCGTCGTGTGTTTCGGATGAATTCCCTCTTTGACATTTTGTTCTTCACATGAGGGCTTGTTAGGTCAATGGAAAGTAGAATCAAAGAGTAACACAGTACATAAACTGCATCTAGACAGGAGAGAATAAATATATTTTAGAAAGGAAACTGTGATCATTTAAAATATGGTTCCCTGTCCAACAACCTTATGGTCTTTGTCATCGGGCCATATAATTATATATATACATACACACATATAACAACTCAAAAGGGTATCCCAGTAAAATAAAATTTAATACAGCAATTTTCAAAGTAATAATATCAGCACATTGCCCAATGAGCATTTATGAATCTCTTAATATTTCTACATTATCCAAAAGTCACTAAGGGCTTTATGCACATTCATTTAAACAGATTCTTGGAAGTTTTTGTAAACGAAGGCCAACATCCTGCTAAAGCTTATCTTTAAATATATAAGCAGTCCCACTGCTGAAAACTGTCTCCCCCCCAACCAATTAGAAATGCTTGTTAACTTGAGTGAGGCCCCAAATTCCCTCTCATTTCTGTGGGACTATCCACAAGGTAAAATGTTAAGAGTGTAAGTCTTTGGAAGAGGGAACTTAGAGATAGTACAGAGCTTAAACACAGACGAAAGTGAAGGAAAGATAACATCAAAATAAAACCCACTTATCAGCTAGGTCCAAGAAAAGAATCTGTATGTTATTTTTGTTTTCTTTCAACCCAAGTGGGATGATGCCTGTATACTGAACCCTCCCACAGCATGTTTGTACTTTCAGAAATACTTGTTTAAGTGATGATTTAAAAACTACCATAAACAGTAGCATCATCCAGAAATATAACGACTGATCCACTGATTCAAAGCTCGTTTTTGCTTACCAGGGCTAAGGCCAAGCTCTCTCATCAAATCAGGGTTACAAGCACAGAATCTGTGAGAGAACTTTGTTATGAGAGTCTCAAGGTACTCCCCACGCTCCTCAGGAGCATGAATGTGTCTGAAGAACTCTCTCAGTGCATTTGGCAAGAACTGATTTCTGAAGTTGTGCAGCGTCACAAGGTCATCCAAAACATCTCGCCTGGTAGAAAAAAATCCCACATAAACAGTTAGAAGAAACTTCTCTAAGTATGAAAGTGTAGGTTTTAAAAATAAAAATGAAAGCTTTAGAAAGTTTATGAGCTTTGTTCTTTGCTGAAAGACTAACTTATCACTAACAGCATAAATATAAACACATGTTCTTCAGACACTTACAATAGTATCTAAATAATATAAAAATATACATTAATCAGAACTCTAAGTTTCTTCAGATGCATATTCAATCATAGTCTACACAGAGGCTTTGCTTCCTTTAAACTGTCTGACAAAGCCATTAAAAAAGGCAGTAAAGGGAATAGATTCATGTGTGTCACACATTTTGTGCCTGAATAGAAGCTGTTACAGGAGTATCTTGTTAAAATCAGGCTTAAGTTAGACAAAATTTGCTCACAAAACCCCTTTAAAGTCTAAGTCCATCAGAGTGCGATGCTCTCAAGTGTTTTCCACTGAACACAGAAACATCTAAAGGATTCAGACTAGCATACATGAACAGATGTGCAAAAGACATCTGAAAGAAATTTGGAAGCAAATTCGAAGTGAACCAGGTCCTTTCCATTAAACATTTCAGTACTAAGAGAGGGTTTCAACATTTAGAAACCTAGTTTTTATTTTTAGTGCCTGATTATACTGTTTAAAAAGGGAAGATGAATGGTAGTAGGTAGGGATTGATAATATTAACCTGCAATCTGATCCATTAAATGGTTTTGTATTTTTTCTATTGCCAAATATTTGATAATCTGAAGTTTTACAGCACAGGACTGTCAGTGGTGACAACACTACTGAATGCCTCCTTTTATTCCTTTAGTGGTACAGGCTGAGGAGGATGAGAAGCAGGAGAGGATTGCTGCTACAAGCGCTGCTGTCCCTTCTGCTCTTCCTATTTAGGTCCAGTTATTAGTCTCCTCCTTCTTCAACTTCGCTTGAACATGTTGGTGCTCCTTTTTCCTGATACTGCACTACCCCAACCTGAAGGTATCCTGGAGGGCAAGAGAACGCATTCTGGAGGTAGAAGAGCATGCTACAGCAGGGAGAATGTTCCCTCTGTTGCATCTTAGGAGGTGGGTTTGCCATTCGAGAAATATCAGACAACCAAATGCAATGGTTAGATGATTCAACATTCGTTAAAAAGCTGTCATCTCTTGGTAAAGTGGTAACTGCTTTTTCTGATTAACACCCATACTAGACAGGAAAAAAGAAAGCTCAAGTCAAAAAAAGCAGCAAAATATCTATAAAATCTGAATGGCATACAGCACAAAGATTATCCTGTGCAGTTTAAATGCTCACTGTAACTTCAAAACAGTTAGTGCCCAGAACTGAAAAAATGCAGAAAAAGCTCAGGATGTACTTTACTAGTTATAAGTGGTATTTTCACGGGTTCTTGTAAACTGTTACAGTCACATAAATACTTGAACTGAGTAATTGTTCAAATTTAGCAGCAGCATTATAGTTGCATTTTCTTGCATTTTTACATCTTTAAAATTACATCAATACAAGCAAAGTCTTGTTGAATGGTGCTGTACATTGAAAATGTGTAAGAAATGTCTCAAGAGAAATTCAAATTACCTTTCATCAAGGTAGATTCTCAGCTTCTTCCAATTTAGTGTTCTTGTGCAAAAGATAAACTTAGCTATTTCTTTCGGTGAATCGTCTAGTATGCCCTTGGACATAAAGTAGTTGACTCCCTGAGATAAAATACATGTATGTATAAATATGTTTAATCTTGTTTAGGAACAAGGATTGTACTTGGCAATGTAGGAACATAATCCTACTGATTAGCTGGTTTGTTTTTCAGAATGATTCCTCTTCTTCTAAATCACATTTCAACATGCACAATACACTCTAAAATTATAAATCAAATGCAAAGAAACAATTTATTGTTATGGTTGAGATTTTACATACACTCACAGTAGGAAATTTAAAATTATGAACCCCATTATGAGCATGACAGTTCTTTGATAATTTCTTTACAATGTAGACTAGTATTTTGTTTTTTTGCAATTGTATTTAAATAGTTTTGTATTGGTATTTAAAATGCTGTGGGGACCATAACTTTTAATTTCATAACTTTTGTAAATAAGAAAATCTTAGCCATAATGTGTTTAGCCTGTAATATCTTTCATTAAAACATTAATGTTCTCACATGTATATGATGTATCACATTCAAATAGATGCATTAAATGCATTTGTTTAAATGTGTAATAATGCAAATAAACACAAGCACGCTGATTTCAAAGCATAGGTAAATATCAGCATATATAAATATGCATACATATAAATAAGAACACTGTGCCTAACATAAAAAAAGTTTAAAAAGATAGAACAATTGTGTATATGATATATTATGATTTCTGGAATTTTCCACACTTTGCCAAGAACACAGTTCTTATAGAATACACATGCCAAATTTAATTTCAAAATATTTCAGTGATATTCTGGATTATTCCTGTTCATTGAAATATCCCAAAGCATAAAACTATTTTCCTTGTGATCCTAGAAATCAAAACCAACCTAATGGATTTTAAAAACGTTCACATTTTTCAACAACAAGAATCTGAACCTGAGAATAACTAACCAACTAGTTTCAATTCAATTTGGCAGGGGCTGGGAGTGGTTCTGAGCATGGGTTACACAGAAGTGTTACAATACTTTAGTACAGTATCTCTTGGCTATACAATAATGTTAAATAATGTTGAAAATGTGTAGGACAGTGCATTTCTGCATAGGATAATGTACCAAGTCCACAACCTAAATCACCCTTAAAATACTTCTGAAATCTTTTTTCATAAATCTTCTGATATCAGACTTCACAATATTTTGCAAGTCTGCCCTTTTAGTTTACATTACATCTATAAAGATGTAGGGGCAACCAGTCATTCAGTGTATAAACTAACTTCCCAGTGCTCTTCAATTTTGCTTAAAAAAGAAATCAAGGACGGAGTGCAGGTTTGGAAAGTTGTTTTATGAAGTGGATTAGTAAAGCAAAGTCTCAGTTATATCAAGCAAAAAAGAAATTAGAATGTATGCTTAAGATATCAATAACACAAGTGAAAAGCCAATTGCTTATATATTTCTAGAAAATAGCAGTTAATAAGAATACTTTTTTTTTGTTAAAAGAATTTTTTATAAAATAGAGGTTTTATACAGGTAAGAAAAAAAAATCCTATCGATTTTAGGTCCTGATTTTAAGAAGAATCTAGGACTGTAATGAAACATGTATTGAACTATAAGCTTGCATTTAAGTCCAAATTAGATCACATTTAAGTTTGTTTGATGGACAACATAAGTTTAAGTACTTTTTTGAATTAGAGGTAAAGAGGAAACTAAAAATGGGAGATCAAAATGAACATCTACTGCACATTAATTCCTGAAGTATTTTGGCAATTTATGCAAGACTAGCAGCAGAACATCTCCTTTACATATATCCTGACTTAACAAGGTTTATGCATTCAGTAATAAGTATTTGCTTAAAGTAATACAAACTGAAGCCTGGCAAGGAAGTCTTCCTAGTATTTCTGCTGCAATTATTTAACAAACACTTCGGCAACATATCCAGAAAATACCTGGCATGTCATAGATGAGGCAGGATGAAAATAACACCTTCTTGAAGACAGGCAATGGGTTTCTCAGTTGGTTTCTCTGTGACAGTAAATGCCACAAGTGATTTCTTTCATGCACTAGATTTCAACTCAATGTAGGATCTTCACCTGATAAGCTAACAAGTCTTTGCAAAGCATTTTTATTCCCTGTCTCTTACTTCCCTCTCTCTGCCCCATGCCCCCCCACCCCAATCCTTGACAATATCCTTCTCTGTGAATACAGTTTCATTATTCATTTTCCTCATCTACTTCACAGATAAACAGGGTCTAAATAAAATGTACTTCAGCACATGCCATCATTTTTAGTTGCTTTTTATTTCTTCCTAAGCAACCACAAATACTTTGCAACAATAGAAACCTGATTTCTCTTTAAAGTTCTTAAATTTGGGCTCACTGCAAATGAAATTTATTTACAAGATTTACGGCACATCACTGAATCTGCTTTTTGTAACACTGTAAACACTGGCTTGAATTCCTCTCAGAACCCACACTTCAAATAAATCACTTTTAAATCACTTTTAGTAGCTAAAATGGTTGCTTGTGGCAGGTATGCTAGCTGAAATAAGTAGTTCTACACACTATTGAAATCTACGCTAGGATTATTTATCAGTCATCTGTTGATTCTCTTAGGAAACATTTGACTGAAGTTGGGTAGGCTGATCTATGCCATTATCCACCAGATCTGAAGAGGTCTTTTTAACACTTAGGAAACACTGCAGGATGAGCACACACAGTATGTTCTTCTAATTCTGATTTAGTGGAAGAGTAGTTAGGCAAACAGTACAACAACCAAGATTTCCAGTAGCTCCATGTCTGCCTAACTTATACGAGGAGCCTGCTTGTCACTATAATGTTCTTAGCATTTGAGAATCAGGAAAGATACTTTAAGGATGCCTTGCCTTTGTGGCAAGAATGTTACCACTGAATTTCAGACAGCTTTGGATAAAATCTTAATGTATGAGAGCGTTGATTTAAATTATATATGCAAATAACAAGCATAACTAAAGACTAATAGTAACAACAAAAGCCATTTGTTTTATTTCAATATGTTAGTTTTTACAGTTGCTCTTTTTTTTCCAGTCACAGGATTCTTGTTTTACCAACCTATTCCATTACAGCACTGACACTCCTAGCTTCCTTTCTACTCATTCCCAAGAGCCTTTCCATGCATTTATATCCATAGAGGGTATCTAAAATGGAATATTGGTTTCATTTTTGCATTGATTTTCTTCTCTGATAAGAGTACTTTCAGAACATTTCCGTACAGCAGTCAACATTAAAACATTTTGTAGCTTCCTTTGACATCTCTGTTTAGATATGCATACAAAGGAAACCATACATATTCTAAGTTAATGGCACAGAAATTTTGGAATCAGTATTTTTCTACACATATACATGATTTCTCTTTTTAATATTTAAATGGCATTGTTCGCAAAGTCAGAGTTGGGAGACAACGAAGCTTTTAACCTAACGTGCATTTAAAAGTAGTGCGGGAAAATAGATGACAAATACATTTGTCAATAGAGACAAATTTCACTTAATATTTGAAATTTCAAATTTCACATAAATGGTTGTACATATGCTCTACTTGTTTAGCTTAAATAGTTTTAAAAAGTGACTACGGAAATCATTAGTAGCATATTACCATTAGCATTTTTAGGTGATTTATAATTCTGCGAGTTAATATGCTTTTACATTTTGGTAGGATTTCATAAGTATCAACATAAAATGCTGATTTCTTTCTAGTCTGTACTATATTAAAAAAAGACAATTTTGATCAATTTTTAACCAAATTAAAACATTCTTAAATAAAACCTAAGGCAATATAGGAATTCAAGTTTAAATACTAGCTTAATTATTTAGATAAATTCTTTGGGGGCAGTGACTGTCATTACATTCTGTATATACAGTATCTCTTATAGTAGGGCCTCAATTTCTAATAGGGGCTTCTAGGTAACATTAACACTATTAGTAAGTAATAATTAGGCATGTATTATTATTCCCATATTTCTAAGGACATGCAATATCTTAATATGGTGCATCTTCTGGTACAAAATGCACAGTACTGATGTTATATTTTTCTAACAGACATTTTTAAGATTATTTTTCTAAGTTATGAATCAAGTCATTTGGTGACAAATGTGGACACAATATAGAACACACATTTCAAACTGTCTCTTTCACTGTATGTCTTTAAAATACAGTCTCAGTGATACACACTTATGACGGCAGAAATCACAAGTATAACATAGAAATATTTTTCATGTTACGCAGAATCTGTAAATAATAATTTAGAAGACTAAAGTTCTCTGCCTTTAATGGAGAGTTTTCAAAAGGTTTCATCTGTCTGGCCCATTCCAACTTTTTAGATAAATCACACAAAAGAACTTCTTCCCTCTACAACATACACATACTTTTAATATTCTTAGGACAGCTAAATCAATGCATCTCAGAATTGGCTTGCTTAGTAGATCACTATGAAACAGGGTAAGTTTCAGAAAAATTTTGTTAGAAATACACAGCACAGTGAATATTCCATAATCTAGACTATCTATAATTAAAAGTCAGGTAAAATGTCTTTATGCAAGTGGCTAACAATTCATTTACAAACAAGAAAAGGTCAGAAAACTGACCTCCCTGGCAAAAACTAAGGGCAGCTGGTAATGAATGAGACAATCAGAAGAGTGGAAAGCCAGGCTTAGTACAAGCTCTGTCTTACTGTACTTTATTGTTATTATGCTATGAGAAGGAAATCTTGACCTCATTAAAGTCTGAGAGTTTTGGTACAGTCCAGATTCCAGTAGATCCATAAAAATAAATGCTATTAAATAGAATCAGTTAGAATCATTAAGAATGAAACAAAAATTATATCTTCTTTCCTGACCAAAGATTATCTTTTCCACCTTCAGCTCCAATTTAACTACATAGCATAGCATCATGTAGTAAGTTTAACAAAATATTTTTTAGGGAGTTAGAAACAGTATACAAAACAGTAGGAAATAACTTCTGGTTGCTTACAAATTCTGAGCCATAAGCATATGAGATATGCTCATATGAAATGAGCACTGCATGAGAAATATTTCACATACACCATAAACTTTTTAGAATAAAACAGAGCAGAGACCATGTAGGCAGAGTAAACAACATAATATTCATATTCAAGTGTTTGGTATTAACACTAAACCTCCCCCTCTCCCCAAAGAAACAAAAATCAAGTTCCAAAATTTTGGCTACAGTGGTGCTGCCATGTGAGAAAAAACCAAAACCAAACCAAAAACAACAAACAAAGAGAGTAATGAGAAACCAAACATGCACTGGAGTTTTGGTTTTTTTTTTCCAGATTACGTGTAATGTGATTAGGCGCATCCTTTCAGCAGAATGTGAGCACCTGCTATGAATTATGCAAGCTCATGCACACAATCAATACATTAAATTACAGCAGATATCACAACACCATGCACACAACAATGGCTAACCAGAGAATCCTACCACAAAGTGTGTAGATGCTCTTCCCTACCCCGTGAGCCACCGCTAGCTCTGGAGCTGTTGCTGTGGAGCCTGGTTACCCATTTTCATGACATGGGCGGTGTCCTTTGGAGAATCTTGCTCCTGTGGCTGTAAGTATTCCTATTTTTATAGTAATTTGATCAGGTCTGTTATCAAATGTAAAGCAGAATTTGGCAGGAAATTCGGAGACGCAATTTGTAATAGTGGAACGTCATATCATATATTCCAGTCACACTGTCCTCATAATAATAATTCTGCCAATATCACAGTTGTAAACAATAAAAGCAATAGTATTTGTGAATTCTCCTGAAACTCAGGCCCTGAATGATTCCTACCAGGCTATGGTGCTCCACAGGGAGAGAGGAACAGAAGCCCTTAGGGGATTCCCTGAGGTTCTCATCTCTCACTAGGCCTGAAGCAGACTGTTTGTGCTACTACTGTACAATATAACCATAATGAACCCAGAAGAAGTAAGTGTAGCATAATAGATGTAATATCTAATTTAGGTATACTACATGGTAGCTCTAATTTGCAGACCTCAATTTCCTTTAAAAATAACAAATTTTTTTTCAGTGCCTTTTGTGAAGGCTCCAAATGCTTTAAACCTACCAAGATTATTTTACATTAGGTTGGAATATAGCAGCATATTATAAACTAAGGTAGTAAATAAAAAATTATGTTAAAACAAATTGAAAGACAAAGAAAAATTTGGGTGGACAAAGCTGTTACCAATTAAAACTTGATATATTCTTAAAAACACATTTAAGTTACCTAAATATTGCGTTTCATTTAAAAGCTTTACATATATTACTAAAT